CGACCAAGCCCACACCCCCCCCCCCCCCCCCCCCCCCAGTTGGGTATTTCTCGGTCATATGTGCTGTCCTGAAGATCTGAAGATGATTTGGGAAAGCAGAGTTAGTTACCAGTAATCTACAGGACAGAAGGGATTCCCACTCTATATTTGTTGTATTGTGTTATGTTATTCTGTTAGTTACCTTTTGGTTCTTGCTTAATACTGAGATGACAATGCTTGTTTGCAGCTTCTGGATGATGTGTATGTATTCACTTGCCTATGAGCCTCAATGTAAACCAACTACCGCCTTGACACCAGAATGCTTCAGTATCTGGCTATTGCTCAACCATATTATGCCATCTCAGGCCGAAGACATGGACACTATATTTGGTTTACAATGTTAGCGGTAGCTTTTTGGTGCTCTTTTGGATATACAGTAGTTGTGTGCCTGGACTTGGGATTGGGTTGGGGTATGGGAATGGATTCTTTGTGTAAATTTTAATGGTTGTAAAAGCGTATATATAAAAAAAGAAAAACTGCTCAAAAGCGGTACTAGAACAGCGCTTACAAAAATGCAACGCAGTAACTAAAAAGTTACAAACGTTCATAGTGTGTATATATGTGCATATGGTCATATAGTGTATCAAAACCCCAAAACAACATGTAAAATATTGCAGCTTGCCGGTCCTTAGATACTTATTAACATTAATGTTGTGTTCTTTACAGAGCCTTCATAAGCACAGAAGCCATTGGAAGTCCCAGCCTTTAGATAGCAATGTTACAATGGTGAGTGTTTCACAGACGAGTGACGGGTGAAAAAGACCAAGTGGTCCATAGTTTGTCCCTTTTTGATCATTTTAGCTAAATACCTTAACAGTACCTGCAGCTATAGAGGTCGGTGAGGGCTGTTTTACTATGTTAATGTTTATAGTCTAGGCAAATGTATATCGGCAGGTATGTATATGTGTATATATGAGATATTTGATTTTCATTTCAGCCAAGCACAGAAGATGAGGAAAGCTGGAAGAAGTTTTGTCTGGGTGAGAAGTTGTATTGTGACTTGGCTGCTGCTCTGATCAATGAAAACCAGAATCCAGGTATCGATTATATAAAGGTAAACCTCAGTTTGTTTAGTCTATATGATCTTCCTTGCAATGTAGTAAAACTGATTAGGTTTTGATATCTAAGATGACTTAAATGTTCTTTCTTTATCGGCTGACAAATCGTTGAGTTCAGAATCCTTCATGTGAATTTATTGTGGGCTAACTGGATTTCGATACCTGGGGGGGGAAAAAATTGATGGTGCACACTCCCCCTCCAATGAAAGTGAGAAATAAAGGGGGGGGGGGGGGGAGGCGTGCTCCTCAATAAGAGGTCTTTGGGCAATTCAAACTTCCCATTATTATACTGAGCACGCTGAAATTATAAGTAGGGCTGCAACCAACTTATCGATTAGTTGGTTGGATCACCTAGCTCTCTCCTCCACGTTGGGAGGAAGGCACAGCAAACAGTGTGCGGATGCAATAGCCAGCCTGCTATTGGCTATTGCAATTTCAAATGGCCAATAGCGGGCTGGCTATTGCACCAGCCCACTACCTGCAGTATTTAAAATTTAAGGATGGTATTCATTTTTTTGTAAAAATAATCGGCCAACTAATCGCTTTTTATGAAAATAATCATTAGTTGCACCCCTATTTATAAGGATTGCAGAGAAGGCTAGTCTGAACCTAATCAAAGATTGTGTAGAGCTGCTGAATTGCATTTCTATTGAACATGAATTAAACTGTTTACCTGAATCTTGGGTCTTCTGGTCCATTGTATTAGCAGAGACTACAAACTACCTATGTATTCTTCATTGTAGGTTGGATTTCCACCTCTGCTGAGTATTGTTAGTCGTATGAGCCAGGTGAGATTAAGTTGTTGTTGTTGTTGATGTTGTTAATCAATAAGCTTGCTACACACTTGCGAACTGTTTATTAGGTGTGACTTGCAGTGAGTTGGTGTTCATATAAGATATTATTATTTTACAACCACTGTAGTTAGTAATCTACTTTGATTGTATTACTTACAGTGCATGTACATTGTAGGTCCATGTTTGCCTCTGAATGCTGTGGCCTCCCATGCTGTCTGCAACCCGGCTGGTAAAAATCTTTTTCTGGGTTGCTTGCATCTGAATAATAACCTGCAGTAGACTTGAATGGAGCTTACCAGTTTACTATTGTCACATTTAGCCCGGTACTAAATTCTACTTATGTTTTTTTGGTACGTTTACATTAAAGGAAACCTGTGGGCCCCTAATGCCCGTAAACTCTAAAACAGTGGTATCCAACTTAAAGCCTAAGGCCGCATTCACACCTGCGCGTGTCGTGAACGTGCATTGCATTTGTGGGCAGCGCATCCCCATTGAGTTCAGTGGGGCCTGCATGTGTGCCAAAAGCTCATGTAGCAGATTTTGTGATGCACACTCCACTTTTTTCTTTTTTTTTTTTCTGCATTTGTGCACGTTTTCATGCAGCAAATGTGGAGCAAAAAAACACCTTTTCTGGTTTTGTTTTGGGGTGCCATTAGAAATGGCAAGGCAAGCGCATTTTGCTGCGTTTCTGTGAATGTGCGCCAAACGCATTTTGGCGCACGTTAACAGAATGCGCAGGTGGGAATGCCACATTTATTTCCACAAGTCAACACTTCTGCTATTCCCCATTCTTCTGTACAAATCCTTGCAGCAGTGCTGGTGCTCTACCTGTGTAATCATTAAAGCTCCATGACAGTCCTTCTCTCTCATCTATTTATCCTGATGCAGAGCAAAGGTGACGCTCTGCTGCTTACGCTGCTTCAGTTAGGGAGAGCACAGGACTGAGCTTTTTGACAGATTGGTCCTGCAAAGTGCAAGTACTTGGCTGGCTGCCACAGGCTGCTAAAAAAAAAAAAAAAAGTCCCATGGGCTGGCAGTTGGGACAGCACTACTCTAAAATGACACCTTAACTGGTATTCCAAGAATCCACTGCTTGCCTGCTGTGGGCTACACCCTAGGATCTCCCAAAACATGGAGCAATCTTGTGCAAATAGCAGCTAGCTGCATTTTAGATTCTGAAACTCCCCCTCCTGCCAAATTTTACTATTCTCATAGTTGGTCAAGGATAAAAAGAAAAGTGGGTGGGGGGGCGCAATCATTTTAAAACGTCTACATCCTCAGAACCCTAAGCCTGCAGTTGAAGGTTAAAAAGAAAACCCCCTTCTAAAGCGTGGTGTGATTTGCCCCAAGAAAAATGAAAAATTCCCTCCTAAATCCCCTAAGGCAAGCAGATACTCCAGTGATATCCAATCTACAGTGTTATTATTAATATTATTATTGCACCTCTGGCTCTTTTGGTATGCAGAGATCAATTCTAGAGCTGCAGCTAACTATTATTTTCAAAATCGATTAGTTAGCCGATTAAAATTCATCTCCCATGTAGTTTACAATCGCAGTGCATGCAGGTCAGTCACAGGCCTCTTGTACGAATGTTATTCTAATATGTAGCGTTTGGTCATCTGCAAATAGAGATGCTACTTTTAATCCCCAACTCTTTGTTAACCTTTGTTGAAGGCGACTGTTACAAGTGTGTTGGAGTACCTTGTGAACTGGTTTGAAGAGAGGGACTTCACTCCAGAGCTGGTGAGTATATTTTCTTCCTCTTCTGTAGGTGTGTACGGTTAATTAGTTTTATGCTTGATGTCAGTTTTTACTTGGTTTTTCTTCTTAGGGTCGGTGGCTGTATGCCTTGCTTGCCTGCCTAGAGAAACCCCTAATGCCAGAGGCTCACTCCCTCATCCGACAGTTGGCACGAAGGTGCTCTCAAGTCAGAGCAGAAGTGGTATGTGTAGAATATGGTTCTTGTGGTCTAATTCTGGCACTGTGCTCTCATACTGGACATTTAATAATCGGCAGAATTCCTTCCCTGGCGTTACCAAGATCTATAGATTTTAATAGATGATTCGATCTATTATCATGCACCCCAAGTGGGTGATTTATCCCTTCGACAGCAAAAACAATCACTAGAATGTTTTGAATTCCTTTTTTTTGTTTTGTGTTTCTGCCTTTGATCATACTTTTTTTTTGGTTCTGTTCTTTGTAGGAACACAAGGAAGACGAGAGGGTGTCTGCTTTAAACTTGTTAATCTGTCTCGTTGGCAGGTAAAGATAGAAAAACTACTTGAAATGACTAGAGCTAAGAAATACTTGATATACTCTGATACAAAGTTGTGTTCTTTCTGCCCCATCCTACTTAATATTTGCAATTCTGTTATGCATTTGTGTGTAAATACAGTTCCTAAAGTGTCAATCTTCTGTTTGAACTATTTATTATTTATATACTTTGTCACATCAGTATATGACTTCTCTGAAAAGCAATGTATAGAACAATAATAAAATGCACACCCCATCATTTATGAAGGAAGTTTTATATAGTTACTAGAGGTGCACAGAAAGGAAATTTTGAAACTGGAAATTTCTGGGAAATATCAGGAGTCTAAACGGATCCCTGATATTTCCCTTTTAAAATAGAAAAAGCGATTGAGGATGTTTGTTTTTTACATGTATGTTTTTTACTATGTCCACAATGAGGAATGAACAGGAAGTGATGTAGATTTAAATGTCCTAAATTACTTACAAAACACTCAGCGATCACTGATCGCCAACTGCTTGTATCCGCCCTCCATCCTTACTCGCGTGGAGGAGAGCTTGTTTTTGACGGCTGACTCCTCCCCTGCACCGCCAGCTCTGCCTCCTGTGACAGCTGTCTCTGCCCCCACACTGCTCTCCATCCTGATTTGGTCACGGGGCAGTGCCGGAGGAGAGCTCAGCCTCCTGTGACATTGCGGCACACAGTGCTTTCCTCCACTCCCCGCTCAGCCGCTTGGACGCTGCTCCTTGTCAAAGGAGACACAGAGCAGCGGGCAGGAGAGAAACTAGAGATGCACCACAATTTCAGCCGAAAGATGGCACTTTTGGCAAAATGCAGAAAGTACTATTTTCGTCCGATATGTGTTGGAGGTCAAAATTTCAGTGCATCCCCCAATATTTACACTTGTATACAAAATATCATATATTTACACACATAAAATAATCACATGATTGGTGGTGCAAATAGAAAGTCTAGATCCACTCCAAGCCTTTAGTGACCATAGAGTTCAGCTTTACATTGGATGCTACACTAAGTCAATCAACTATACAAATAATAACCTGTAGCATAATTCATGAATTCTCTCTTCATCCCTGATATAACTATTTAGATTTACTTCTATGTTTAAGCCACCCGGTTCCTATTGATCCATTCTGCTAAGACTGCTAATCCAATCTCTCCCTTCCAGTTCTCGTATCTTCTTCTTTTTTTTCTTCTCTGTTGCATGTATTTTTCATATTTTATTTTGAATGCTTTACCCTGAAATGTTCTGACAGTTTGTCAGTTTTTTACCCCTAATATATTCACCCTCTCTAAATTTTCAAGGGGTCTGACAGGCATTCCAATAAACAAACTGTATTTGAAGTGTTCCTTAGTCCTCTTTTTTTTTTTTTTTATCAGTCCCTTCTTCACAAAGCTGGATATTTTTGTGTTCTAGAGTTTTATTCAGCTGAACATTTTATGGCATCCAGTTAGTCTGTTTTGATAAGGCTCCACTGCAGAGTTTTTGAAGATCCATTATTACTGTTTTTATCTTGACGGTCTTTATTGTCTCACCATTCAAAATTCCAATCCGAAACTCGTAGTCATGGAAAATTGTGCCGCTAGTTAGGGAATGATTTGTGCCCACTCTGAAGAAACCACACAGGTATGGAGACTTCTATAGCTATTTAAAACTGAAACACCTTCTGTTTTGTCTAGGTATTTTGAGCAACGCGATCTGGCAGATTCTGGTGATCCATCCTGAAGAGATGAGACTGCCTGCGCAACTTCCCATGCATACAGCAATACCTGTCCATTCAAAGCAAGTCTCCCTTCATTAAGTGGTGTATCTACCATCTTTTCTGTTCAGAACTGGACTATCCAAAGGGAAGTGGCAATTGCAGAGCCCCTTTGTTTGCTGACTCAGTGCTATGAAGGGCTACACCTCTGACTATTGCACGTGAATATGTGATGACCAGGAGTGGAAAATGATCCTGCTTCTTAGATTTAAAGGTGTAGAATTAAACTTTATTTTTTCTTTAAATGGCCAAAGTTGAAGAGCTTTTTAAGTGCCTAAAGGGTTTTGGAAACCATACATTCATCCTCCTCAAAGGATAATGGCAGTTTTACAGAAAACCACCAAAGACCAAAACTGGATCCAATACATTCTGGTGGCACCCTTTACCTCAGTTCATTTGAAGTCCTCAATTCATGTTGCTTGGCTTGTATGGGACTCGCTCATCATGTACATTTGGCACCAGCTTTGTTTCGAGTCTTCTCTTGTTTTGTGCTCTGAGTCGGGATGGTTTGTGTAGAGCTGTGGCCACCTCTGCAGTGTAACGCCTTCTCTCCCATAACTCAATTCATGCATACATATATTCCGTAGGTACTAGAGTCAGAGCCAGTGCTGTACTTAAAAGGCTTCTATTGAGCAGAGAAAGGAGGGGAGTCCTTAGAGTTTGAGTGGTTTGTAGGATGAGTCCTGTAGTTTTCTGTAAAACTGCACCTGTCCCTTTAAATCTCTTTTCAAAGAGCCCATCCCCTTCCAGTGGGACCTGCATGGTTTTCCTGTTGGGACTGTTGTGGTTGAAGCAACCTGTAGCATGGAAAACTGTTAAACAAATTTTATAGAGGTTTGTTTTTTTTGTATGGAACAATTTTCCTATTGTAGTGTGGTGTTTTTTTGGTTCTGCTGCTGCAAGCAAACCATTTAAAAAAAAAAAAAAAAAGATTAGAATTATTTTTACATATGCAAGTAAAGCTGGGAATAATAAACATACAAATGTTTTAAAATGGGTCTTCCTCCCCATTAAGGACTACTTTTTGTGCTTCCTACACAAACTACATTTTACTTTTCTCTATTTTCACCTTTAAAATGTAATTCTAATGCCTAAGACCTAAACCCTTTGCTTGTTTTTTTTAATTGTGGTGACCTTGTCCCATAGTTTCTAGAGGGTAAACCACTAGAAAAGAGGCTGATATTCTCACCTTCCGCATGGTGTGTAATAGACACATTTGCCTCACTGGCTACTGAACGGCCTGGGAACAAAGATGTGCATGTGGTAGGACTTGGCAGGGTACATCCTGCTCCACCAAGCTAGCATAAATGTCTGTCTATTCTTCCAGTGTGTTGGGAGCATGCAGGAACAAGGCAGGTGTTTAAAGATGGCAGCACCTAAAAACAAGAAATGCTAGAACAACCTAGCAGGTGTTTGTAGGGTTAGGCTTGGCACTGCTCTAATTCTTTTGCTTCTAGTTATTACCTATGGTTATATTATAGGTAGGCTGCTTGGTGGGACAATCATCTTTGGGTATATGTGCTGTTTAAGTTTTGACACATTGTTCTAATTGTGTTGGTTGCAGAGGCAATTTCAGGATCCATGTTCTGTTTTATGAAATGTGTTCTTGTCGTCTTGCCACTTTCTCTACATAAAATGAATACTTTTATTATGAAGACTTTGTTTTGCATTATTACGAATCCTCTTTGATCTGAATTTTTTTTCTTCTGCTCTTGAAAGAAACCAGTCATGAGGAAATACTTGGAAACAATTTCTGAGTTGAATCTTTGAATTGGTACATGTGCGCCGATATGGACTTCCAAATGTCCTTTTCTGTAAATTTTCACAAAGATGATGCTGATTTAGTGCTAGCTGGAAGCAAATGTAAACTGCATGAATGGGACATATCTATGGAGCTGCTCAGACTGCAGCTTAATTGTCTTTTAGTCTGCACAATCTCTTCTAAAAAATGAAAGTGATCCTGTAAAGTCTGTTGCAGCCATTAGTAGCTGCATTGGGAGAATTACAGTGTCAACAGCCCAATGATGGATTTGTTTTATATTTTCATGTCTTGAAAGAGATTCTGCACAGACTGACAGCAATCCAGCAACTGTTCCAGCAGTTTAGTGGCTATGTTTAACTTCTTTGTCTCAGAAGAAATTATGTACAGACCAACAGGAAATACTGTTGTGGTTAGGGATGCACCGATATATCGGCCGAAAATGGCACTTTGGCATAATCCTGAAAGTGCCATTTTCTGGCCGATACAGCGGTGCATCCCTCCTATTCTCTCCTCCCTGCTAGGTGCTGCTCCGCATCCCAGCGGGGGAGGAGAGAAACGTGAGAAGAGTGGCCAGTGTCTCTCCTCCCACACCTCTCGGCCTCCTGTTGCAGAGCGGTTTGTGGGCGGAGACAGCCCGTGCTGTCACAGCAGGCTGAGCGCTGCTCGCTCAGCCCCCTGTGACAGGAAGGAGAGCACTACAAACGGTGAACTGGTGAGTGTTTGTAGATAATTGAGGACATAGTATGTTAACTATAGCCTCAATTATGAATGGGAGGCAGAACAGCTGAGTGGATTAAAGGAGAAGCAAAGGGATGGTTGACAACCTGAAGGGAAAAAAAAAAAAAATCTTAGAGGAAGAATAGGATGACTATTGACTAATATGAAGGGTTAGAGAGTAAAATGCTGTGGAGGTTTGGCGGTAGTTTTAAGGAGGACATTTTGAAAAGAACACCCAAAAACAGACTGAACCTTGGAGGACCAGCTGGAGTTTGGGAGAAAGAGGAGGTGTGTGTGTGTGTGTGTGTGTGTGTGTGTGTGTGTGTCTCAGATTTACAATAACCTGCTACTGGGCATCTGAAGCCAGTTAACACATGCTACAGGCAAGAAGGCTGTCTACTGTCATTGAGATTCCCCAGGGATAGCATGGCCATGATGGATGACAAGGCAAGGTGCTCTCTTCGAGAGGCTAGAGGTTTGACAGGGCGAGTATGGTAGCATAGCCCTGTCCCCTTTAAAACAATGTATATATTTTCTGAAAATGCTAGCTGCAATTTTGTCTTTTTTTTTGTGTGCAAATATTTATCAAATTTATATTTTTAGGATAAAATACTGTAAAATTAATGTGTGCAAAAACACAATTTTAATTTGGGTAAAATATAAAAAAAAAAGAGGCTTTGCTAGGTAAATGGATATTTTAAATTGTATGCACCTGTGAAATGATAGAAAACTACAGTACCCAAAATTGCCCATAGGTGATGCTTTTCAAAGCCTTCACACCGCTCAGCATTTTAGTGTTAACAGTGAATGATGACCCTAGAATTATCACTTGCACTCAAACGTTCACTGATATGTAACATGTGGCGCAAGTCATTTTTACATGGGCACACCCAACTCCTATTTGTATGTGGGGGGGCTTTTTTTTTTTTTAAAATTTGTGACTACTTTTTTAAGCCCCGCCCCCCCCCTCCCCCCTCACAAATAAAACCAATTGATATATAGGGCATAACAAGCCCCCTACAAGATGGCAAAAAGTGGCAGATCCTCTTTATAGAGACATCAGGGGTCCCCTATGGACTCCAAAGTAGTTGATGAAGCTCAGACCATGCTTTTTAACAGCTTCTTCTGCAACCACAGCAGCTGGAGGAATGACAGGCTGAAGCCGAAAGTGATGCAATACATTTCACTTCCGCTTTCACTGATCAGAGAGGAGAGGTGCACAGACCCACGATGCTGGTCCCAGGCCCACAAGCGTGGATGGCGTTTCCCAGAAGAGCCAGTACCGGTGGTGTCTATATATAGTCTATAAACCAGCATCTTGAACAGTCCATACATGTACACTGAGTGGCCAGATTATTATGACCACCTGACATTTGTAACAAGTTAGCTATAATTTCGTGCTGAAGTTGATAGAGTGCCAGACCATTATAAATAGGGAGGCAGGTTGTTTACCACAACAGTAGAAGTGATTTTTTTTCTGAAGATCTGGGTAAACAACGCGATTTAACAGCCTTTGAACATGGGATGATTATTGGCGCTCGCGCCATGGAGCGAGTATCAGCAAAACAGCAGAATTTGTTAAATGTTAAACAGCTGTTAAAGTGTTTAAAGACTGGACTGTCAGTCGAAAATCTAGGTCTGCGAATTGTGACCGTCAGCGACTAGTCAATGTTAGGGCAGAACGGAGAGTGGCAAGACTGGTACAAGACAACAGTGCAGTGTCAGATTCCTCGCATCACCTTTCAACATCTCGTGGAGTCACGAGGCGGCCCAACAAAGTCATCTCGTGGCCCAACGAAGTACTGATGGGGTGGTCATAATAATCTGGCCACTCAGTGTATATTTTTCTCTCGTTAAGCCCATGGCAAACTGCTTGATTTCCCCCATCTTCACTAAACCGCATGGAAGGAAGAATCTCACAGAAGCCTATATTGTTCTGACACCTGGCTCCAGCATTTCTCACTGTCCAGCCAACAATTTCCCACCCAGATTTTCAGTTGAAGTTTATCAAGCCAGGTGGGACCAGAAGGGCTATCCATGGTTAGAATTTCAGCTGATTCACAGGAATACCTCAATTTCTAACAGTATATGGCCAGCTTTAGCCAAGGAAAAACAAAAATGAATCATTACTCTAGGTAACTCCACAGCCTCCATGTTGCATGCTGCTCTCAGCACTTTTCTTAAGCTAGGTGTACACAGTTTATTTTTAAATTTTCATTAGCTTTTGGGGCTAAAGAGTGTGAATGGAGGAATCTGCTGCAATTTTAAGTTTGACAGTGGGCCCCGCCAGCTGTCAAAATACCTGCTTGCATCTTCATATAGCTAACAGGAATACATTTATACCAACTACTAGGGCTGCTTTAAAGTCACCTACTTCTATAAATGTGGTACTACCATCTCCTCCATAGTTTATTAGACTGAAGATTGGTGTACACAAAACCTGTAAAGTGCAGCATCGTGAAATACTGTTTTGTTGTGATTTAAGGAGCACCAAACAGTTCTCTTTAACCATATATAAGAAGTCCATTTTGCAAAACCTAAATCAAACAATTTTTCCACGGGTCATATTTTGTGCTTCCTGCGGTCCAGCGCAGCTCTGAGTGCCTTCATGATCTGCTCTTTGTTATTTATCACATTGTACCGATTCACTTCTACCAAACGCTCAAAGTCATTCGGCTCATACGTGAAGTTTTTTGTCCGGTACGGAGAATCTTTCCCTACGAGTTTAAAGTCCCCGTAAGCCATCTCGCTTTCTGTTTCTCGGAGCAAGCCTGTGAGAAAACACAAGAAATTACTGTATAATCAATGATATCAGGTCCTCTCAGCCATAGAACTGGGTTTCACAAACTAGACCAGTGAACGATTTTTAAATATAGGTAGTAACCTATAAGAGTGAACTGTGTGATAAACCAGAATGTTCCTCATCCTTTCAGTATGTCACTATCTATGCTTACTATGAACAGTTATTGACTGTGGACCATGTAATAGTATGTCACGCACGAGCTTTCAAATGCTTGCTTCTAAAAACAGAATTGGAAGGGACACTCGCCATAGGTAAATGTGACCTGTACATTTTACAGTATGCTCATAGTGCTACAAATGGTCATTAAAAATGTCAGTCCACCCAAAACTCTTGCTGTTTTTAGCAGATTCTGGAGAGTTAAACCACCTGACTGTTTCTTATATCTCTCAGGAATTCAATTGGTGAGATCTCTGTCCTTGAGTTCCAGGATATGGAAACCTAATGGTGATCTTCAAATAGCAACTACGCTTAATGCATCTCTATCACAAAAAAAAAAAAAAACCTAAATTCCTGCAAAGAAGAAAGTAAATTCTCGCCTTTAGATAGACCTTTGAGGAGGGACCAATTACTGGTCCCCCCACGGTGCTCCAAGATTCCTGTAGACAACTAAGTCACTACTGTGCACCACCATAAGCATTTACAAAGCATGAAATGGGCTTATATTATATACATATATTTTGCATTGAGCACAATTTTATCCATACATACTGAAAAATTATTTACTGGCTCACCTCATGTCAGCATACTATGGGTCAACGTCACCCCCTCAGGACCACCTCTAACCTAGCTAATAAAAGAGTAAAGGTGCCCATACACCTGCCGATTATCGTACGATAATCGGCAGGTGTATGGGCAGCATGCGACCGCATCTACTGAACGGTTGCATGACTTTAGTCTTCCTAGCACGCTGGAAAACCTGCCGAAACTGCCCGCTCAGCATTGCAATCATCGGCAAGCCCTCCTCTCAGCGGTCCAAGATGGGCAGTTCGTACAGAATTTTAATCACCTTACAACCATTGCACAACAAAAGTCGTGCGATGGTTGTAAGGTGTATGGCCAGTTTTAAAAGGACAAATCCCAGCGTTCTTTTTTTCGTCCTACATTCAGGCCACCTAGTTGCCGTCATCCCTCCATACCATTTTTCCACCTGGATTCAGCCTCTCCTGGGATGGATGGCCCGTCTGTTGGGAGTAAATCTCCCTGATGCAAGGCGTCTGTGGTGCGGGCTCCTTAAGACTAGTCGGTCAGTGGTTGCAGCAGGATGGGTGGTTAGGCCCCACTAGACACCAGGGTAATGTACAGCCACTTCTTTCTTGCGGCCTCCTCTCTGTGGGGACAGAGTCTGCTCCTCCTATGCTGGTCTATACCACGCATGCGTGTTTCAGCCGCCATTTTCTTGTAGCCAGTTTAGCAGGATGGGCGGGCAGGCTACATTGGACAGCGGGGTCTTGGGCAGCCGCCATTTTTCTGCAGATCGCCTGCCGATTGGGTCAGTGGCTGCTCCTTCCCTGGGGGCAGTTTGTTTAATCCTTTTTATGCTGCCATTGTGGTTTTCTGCTTCATCTTTCCTCTGGCATATATTTTTCCTCCCATTCCTCTGGTACTAAAAGTTCTTCAGAAAATCAAAGCGGATGCCGCTCATCTGCTATAGTGCAACCATTCTGGCCAAGGAAACCATGGTTTCCACTCTTCAATCTCATGGCCTTGGCTTTGACCGTTTTTTTTTCTACCCTAAGATTTGTTCATCCAGGATAGATGTCAGCATCCGAATCCAAAACATCACCGCTTGGCAGTTTGGTTACTGAATCAACCAAATTAAAAAAACAAGGTCTATCTAAGAAGGTGATTGATACCTTAATGCGTTCTAGGAAACGATCTACTAATGCATTTTTTCCCTGATGGCATTTGGTTTTATAAGACTTGATAAAACCTCCTTTCAGCCCATCCCAGGACTGTAGTTTTCATACTGATTGTTAAACAATTCTTCCGGCCTTTTCCAGTAAGTCGGCATCTCCTAGTGTGGATCTTTATGCGCCTCTGAATATAGTACAACATTTTCCCTCTACATCAAAAGAACCAGTGACATTAGGAAAAACGGACAGATGTTTCTTTTTGCCAGGAGGTCAGAAGAAAGGCTTACCTGCCACTCCTGGGATTCAAGCAGTCATCGAAATAGCATGTACTAAGCAAGGGCTCACTCCTCTGGCTTTAGTGCGAGCTCATTTGACTAGGAGAGTCTCAACTTCGTGGGCTTCACAAAGCTTTTAAAAGAAGATATCTTTAAGGTGGTCAGATGGAGTTTAAAGAATATGTTTGTAAATCGTTACAAGGGGTGACGTGGCTTCAGCATGGATGGCCCATTTTGTTTCATCAGTCTTGTCATCTTCCTCGGCTCATTAAACTTTTCTTTTGCATTATTCTTGTATTGTGGGGGGTTCTTGATTGTGCCCACCCTATTTCTGTATCTTGTTATGTCCAGTAGTATGCTGACATGAGGTAAGCCAAGAATATGGAAAATTGTTACCAAATAATTACCATAATTTTCATTTCCTGGCTCATCCTCATGTCATCGTAGGTACCCTCCCGAGTGGCCTTCCGCGGCTGGTTTAAAGAACGCTGGGGTTTGTCCTTCTTACTCTTTTATTAGCTAGGTTAGAGTTGGTCATTAGGGGTCAAGGGCATGGAGTTCACCTATAGTATGCTGACATGAGAATAAGCCAGGAAATGAAAATTACGGTAAGTATTTGGTAACAATTTTCCATAATATTTACATTGTTCTTACAATACAGCACAGCAGCCAATGGACAACTGATCCCAATTCTGGGCAATTACCTGGCTCTTTATATGTGCGAAATGTGTCATTCACCAAAGGAAAGTGAATCACTATGGGAGAGTGAGGATTATCTTCGTCCATGAACACATAGCATTCCTTCGGCTGTTGCTCATCCTTCTCACTCACAGTGATAGAGGGAAATTCGATTCCTCTCTCTCTGCAGTATTTTTTGGTTAAATGCAACACCTGGAATACAAATAATACAACTGTACCAAAGAGCATGGTGGCAACCTGTAATTGAACCCCTAGTGTGTGTGTGTGTGTGTGTGTGTGTGTGTGTGTGTGTGTGTATGTATATATATATTCAGATTTAAAGAATAAATAAACCCCAAAACAAACATTTACAGGACTATTTACAAAAGGGTGAAGAGTTTGGAGAAGGCAGGAGAAGTGAACAATCTAGGAAAACATAGCTGAACTGGAGAGTGAGCCGAATTGGGAGAACTTTTCTAAATCAGCTATTTTGGCCTAGATTGTTCTCTTCTCCAAACTCTTTACCCTTTTGTGAATAACCCTGTTAACATATTGCAGCTCACCAGTCCTTTCATGCATTGAATGCATTTGTTTTGTTTTATTTTATCAGACGTAAGAACATTTTTATCAAGTACAGAAAATACCCATTTAGCATGCCAGATATACAGTGAAGGGATGAGCATACCAACCCAGGGACAAGAAGTGTGATATTTGCAGGATTACCAGGTGAAAAAAGAAAAAAAAACGGAGAAAAGAAAACTAATACAGCCACCACATCTAAGGACTAGTGAACTGCAATATATTACAGTTTTGGTTTAGATACACCATAAAGCCTATATTCAGGATCTTAAAAAAACAAAACAAAAAAAACCTATAAAATTGTTGCAGTGGGCCTACCCCTACACTGCAAGAATTAACTGTTTTTGTCTAGGGTTATGGTGTAAGGGACCTTTACTTT